GTAAAACTGTTACCTACTATTTGTATTTTCTCCCGTATGATACTTCTGTTGTTAGTATAACTACTGGCCAGCATCTGAAGAACCCATCGCACAGATAAAATCTGCTCATGTTCTAATCCACCCTAGTTTTGCATACACATATTAGTGAAGCCCAACACATGTTAATCCATGGGCCGAACATGTTGCAAATGTGGGGTTTTGGTTGGCACGGTAAAAACGAAAAGCTATTAATGGTAAAATATGTAACTTTTCCAGTAGTGCGAAGTTGTACAATAAATAAGTTTCAGATCTCTGTGTCAAACATCAGTTCGCTCACATGCACAAGTGTTCAGCAATTTCAGGGGTTTGAGATCGCATGAGGCTGAATAAAGCTTTAAAATCATGTCACGCAGCCGTGAAAAAGTTATATCCTTCGTAATACAGGGTACATTTAATAACTAGTCAATACAAGTCCTGATCAAAGTACCTAACATTGCACACTATCTGAAGGTGAATGGAGTCGAGGCCGTCGGGCTATATTCGAGAGGATACAAGAAGTGAACAATGAAGCGAACGTCTGCTCAAAAACTCATCGAGGAGATGAGTGCTGAGTAGTATGCGAACGCACTTGGACAAATACTGGGGTATTGTCAAAGGAATAAATGCTTTGGAGTCGAAGCTTAGCAACAATGGACATGAAAGAGCGGAATTATCTTTCCAGCTGCTGCAAGTTTCACCACGCGGTGGAAAACTTGATGTGTAATCGGAATAGTGCAAACATATTGAAATGCAGTTTATTTACAGGGTGTTATAAAATTTGTTTTGTTGGAATCCAAGAAAGTGTTTTTCATTCATCTGATAAATATATCTTGATTCCCTATATATATTTATTATCTTCGGTACATGGAGTAAGGAACGCAGATAGTAAGCAATGCACAGAAATCAACAAAGACATCTGTTTCATTGATGAAGGTAGGTTGCTCAGTGATATGTTTCGCCTAAATAGTTTCAACCATTTCCTTGGATTGTTTCGTCATGCAGAAGAACTACAGAATGTTTATGAGTTGTCGAATTTCAATAACGCTTGGGTTTCAACATTGCATTTGGAGTATCCATCGTGTGGTTGGATTGCTATAAGAAATCTCGGTTGAAACCACGGTTCACTTTGACGTAGACGTCGGTCTTTCCGATCACAAGGACCGTATCCGAAATGGAAATATTTCGGTGCTGCTCTTTCTAACTCTAACACCCCATAATTTGTTTCGTCCTCGTCTAGGCCCATCAGCTGGAACTAACCTTAGCTGGGGTGAACTCGGGGCATAATGTTTGACGGCTGACTCCTTGATAAATATGACACTAAGATCTGTGAGTGACGCTTGGCATAGCCATAAGGAATTCAAAGATGGATGCCGTCCGATCGAGGTCTGACCGAGGTCTAATTCGCAGTGAACTGAGGTCTCAATGGAGATGGCGCGTCGCAAGCCAGCCACATGGCGGGCACCACAAATTTAACTTTGAAGACTTTTCTGCCTTTAACAAAGTGAGTTCTTGTTATCAAGTTCCCTACCGACTTCCTTCTGTTGTTAACTCTGGGCTATAACACCGAGCAGCTGGATATCATAAGCCAACCTCCTCCCAGTATAGGTGAACTTAATCGCGTTTCTTGGTGCTCTCGATAGTTTCTGTCGTGTGCAAGTCTTTCGCATATTCTTTCGACAGTTCTTTTTATTTACCTGTAATCGGCGACCATTCATTGACTGCGCTGCGTTGGCACCCTCACAGTCCATATATTATGGACTACTAGGGATGAAAATAGTTCAGGTTTCTCGCGACCAAACGTTACCTAGGTATTCACTGAGTTGACACCTCTAAGTTGAATATGCTTCGTCACAGTGTCTTCTCTTTCTGCTAACAACTTCATGCTTGAGAAGATATGAGTAATTTCCATAGCAATAAACCTGATAGAATTTAAGTGTAGCTATTAACGAATGAGTTATAGTATCCCACATCCTAGGAACGATTGGGATTTTATGAGCAACGCACTCAAATAATAGAGAGCCTTTCTATCGCCACAACAAGTCCAGCATCTAGTAGAGGAAGATGTAGTAGGAATTTACAAACACAGCTCCTAATCGGCGGAATGGAATGAGAAAACGTTGGTAAGTCTGCCCAGTTTAGCATCACTTCGAGTTCCCCCATACTGCGTAACACTGTCAAACATTACGCAGATGGTGGCTTGAGAAAAATGTGTGAATGTTTTAGGCCGATACGACAACCTGGCGTGGTGAATCACTTACTTGCGTCATTTGTTAGAGCACTCTAACTGAGTGTTGGGAATTCCAGTAGAGGGAACCGCTTACTTGCGAAAAGGAAACATTTACCTGGTTGCTTCTACCAGTCTTTCCTATTGGTCACCTACGTGGTATTGTCTCCAAACCTTTTTAATCTAAAACAACAACTAACCCACAGCGCGACACAGAAGCGACCAGCAACGCATCGATCTCCTCTGACGCTTAGTTCAACTGCCATCCAGTGACCAGGACAAGGTGGTGTGTAATCACTGTAAGTGAAACTATCGTGTATACATAAGCCACTCAACCGCTTGGTATGTTCTGTTGCCAAACTAACCTTATCTTTCATGTGGTGATGCCATTGTAATTTGACTTCAGTGTTCGCCTGTACCAGATACACGGAGTACACTTAATTTCCAGTGGATCACACACCTAGCAAATTTTTCAATGCGTCGTTAGTAGCCAGCCATTCTTTGGTTTATGCACCCAATTGATGACCTGTTGACGATAGGATGCAACTTGGGATGTATGGGAAATATCTCTCCGGTGTCCCCTCACTTACATGATAGCTCCTAAAGGCTAAACATGATGACGGTTAGTACACTGTAAATACCGTTACCATGGGTGTCATTTAACGACATAATGCTGCTCTAATATTTCAGACCGGACTAAACGCAAACTTTCTCTAAGATGGAATAACAGACCCAAAATTTAAGAAAGGTGTAGCTACTACGAAACCTAATAACGACAGTCAACGTTAAAATAAACATGGAGTGCATTAGTCACTTGCTCTTGCAACCGTTAGCGAGAAAATTAAAGCAGCCATCTTATACAAAGCGAGGACAAGACCGTCAGATAGACATGAAAGTAAACGCCAACCACTGTCCTCTGCACGGTCAATAACCTGCATGGCAGTTAGGTTTCAATTCGTAATGGTCGGCTGTCGTCCCACATGGCTCAGTGGCATAAGCTGCTGGCTAGTTGGCGTTAGCCTCTAGCGGTCATGGGTTCGATCCCCAGTAGGGGACCGATGGATGCGCACCACTGACGAGCCCCAATAAGGCGAAACGCGCGTCTGGTGCTTTTCCGGATTGGTAGCTTACCTATGCGGCTTGGAATCTAATTGCGATGAACCAACTCGAATCATACCCAAATCCGTCTACTCATTAGTAATCAAAATCTAAGCCCTACCAGTATTCAAAATTGCTGTGTGGATTCACGGCGCTGGCAAGGGAAGACCTGACCGTGACGGCCAACCACTGTCCTCTGCACGGGCAATAACCTGCACGGCAGTGGAGGATGGGTCGGGCTATATCGCAGTTAGGTTTCAATTCGTAATGGTCGGCTGTCGTCCCCATGGCTCAGTGGCATAAGCTGCTGGCTAGTTGGCGTTAGCCTCTAGCGGTCATGGGTTCGATCCCAGTAGGGGACCGATGGATGCGCACCACTGACGAGCCCCAATAGGGCGAAACGCGCGTCTGGTGCTTTTCCGGATTGGTAGCTTACCTATGCGGCTTGGAATCTAATTGCGATGAACCAACTCGAATCATACCCAAATCCGTCTACTCATTACTAATCAAAAATCTAAGCCCTACCAGTATTCAAAGTTGCTGTGTGGATTCACGGCGCTGGCAAGGGAAGACCTGACCGTGACGGCCAACCACTGTCCTCTGCACGGGCAATAACCTGCACGGCAGTGGAGGATGGGTCGGGCTATATCGCAGTTAGGTTTCAATTCGTAATGGTCGGCTGTCGTCCCCCATGGCTCAGTGGCATAAGCTGCTGGCTAGTTGGCGTTAGCCTCTAGCGGTCATGGGTTCGATCCCCAGTAGGGGACCGATGGATGCGCACCACTGACGAGCCCCAATAGGGCGAAACGCGCGTCTGGTGCTTTTCCGGATTGGTAGCTTACCTATGCGGCTTGGAATCTAATTGCGATGAACCAACTCGAATTAAATCAGGTATTTATTTTGATAGCTTTCGGTAGCTTTAGATTTTTTATTTCCATCTAAACAGTTTACGTGTTGTGTTTTAGTGGCATCTTCGTCTGAGTATCAGGTAGATCAGATATACTTTTTGTAATCCAATAATTTGAGGCCGAATTCCTCGTGACCTTGCCCGCGAGTGAGTCTTTCTGGCCTCGAAATAAGATGCTTCGGGCAGGTATATGCTATACGCGCGCTGTGAACAGAAGGCGTGACAGCGGTTTCAATTAGCTGTTGGTACCACTATAATGGAACGCTTTTAATGTGCGCGGCCCAGGACTGACGCTGAAAAGCATTTTTAGTATGCTAAAAATACCTGTTGAATTATCTTTGTTTCGTAGCATGAATCACGCATATACAGCGGCCATTGACTAAACGCAATTTCACATAAATATGCAGAAGCGGCTGTTGTGCTTAAGGTGAACAAGTGAACGGCGTCATTTCAGAATGGCGATTTCGTTCAACGAAATCCTGTCTCTTATGCTGGCAACGTCAAGCATATCTTCGACTGAATGTTGATACCCTGAAGGTCAACAAACTTTCCGAACTTATATCGAGAACGAGCAGCACATTCAAGGACTTTCTACACATTCCCGTGGTCTAACATCATGTGACAGCAACATGCACACGTTGGATTCGCAGCAAGAAACGAGATCAATGGAGATTTATGTTAATGAGGATGGTTGTCCTGTTGCCTGAGGGTTGGTAAAGACGCACTCGGCTCACTCCAACAGTGATGAGCACAATGGCCTGCACGTCAGTTTCCATCATTCCACTGACCTATTTGGGAAATTCTGTGTTGAAACAAACACCGGACGATCAGTTGACTACAATTTATGAACTATTGTTTACTTACTACCTCGATTTCTTGCACAAGACGGCTGCAAGAGAAAAACAACTCCGGACATACGCGGATGTCATGTCGGACGCTTACTCGACTGTTGTCTTGGCAGTTGGAGGAGGCCAACTAGTACTACGGTTCATCGGGACTGAAAAATGTGGGGAACAGACTTTCAGAAAACACCTGGAGAAAACGTTTACCTCCGAAGAGTTAGTATATTTCAACTGCTACAGTCTGGAAGTTGTCATTCAAGAGGGGCGTGGAAAGAAAAAGTGCTTCGCCTACTTTCGCCGTGCCATCGACACAAGGCGATGTGTTCCAGAAGACGCATTGTTGCGACTGGACGATTCACTAAGCGTGTGGTTACTTCGAAACAGACATGTGCCTCGGCCACCGTTGATTTATTTCATCGTGTTCAACAAGATATTCGAGAGCACTCTGATATGTCATGCATTTCTTGCAGGTGATTTACAATTGGGCCTTCAGGCATTACGATTGCTTGCTGAATTGCGCCGCAGCGTTTTTCGTCACATATCTGGAGCCGATGACTTGGATGTTCCCACTGTCACATGCAAATACTGTGAGAACGTGCGGATTCCTGGCTGTGAAGCATGCGTTCACCTGCATCCAGTGAGTCGTACTCGTGCCCGATCAAGCGATTCACGTTTGTGTCATTCTACCACGACTACTTGCGCAAATTGTCTGTCACGGAATGTTCATAAGCATCAGGATTGCGCGACTAGTGTCGCCTTGTGTCACCACCCCATGTACCTGTGTCATTTGAACGATGTGTCTTGGTGCGCGTTACACGACAATAATTATCGGTGCGCGTTCTGCGAACACCTGTTTTCGGAACCAAGTACATCGGATACGGAAGATCAGCGCAAAAAGAAATTACAAATGAAATTAGGTAGGGAGGCAGCGGATTATTACCGAAGACGTCGAAGACAATTTCATAGTGCACACACAGGTCGCGGAAAAACTGAAACGGACTTAGCAGCTCCGTCCCTACTGACCTCTAGTCTTCAGCGAACATCCACACCTGATTTGGTAATGAAAAAAGACCCAATTTCAACAAGTTATACTGCAAACAAAGTAAAAAATGTCAGTAGCTCACTGGCTATCACGAATTCGAAAACCAAGGAAACTGAGACTTCGCATCCTTTCGGTGCGTCAAGCCGGCGCCGTCCAACCAGATCAGCGGAGGGTAGATCGGTGAGCTCGTTTCAAAACACTTCGTTAGCCATGCTACCGTGATGCAACTGCATATTCTCCTTTTAGCTGCAACCTTCCTGACTTGTGTGTATAGTTTCACTTTATCTTGTACATTCAGAAAGTACGTTATATTTTATTCACTCCACTCCTACATAACATTTAGCATAGTAATCGAAAAATTCGCATGACTTCTAAACATGTGTTCAGTGTTCCAGATACACAGTTTGTACCACAGAAACCATCGACTGTGAATTACTAAGCCACCCAGTAGCTATGTTAGCTTAGCGAACTTTAACTATGGTCTCAGTGGGGCAGATGATTTGCGAGAAACTCGAGAAAGTCAAACGGTGTTAATGGTCACTTGGTTTGCTTATATCTTATCTAAAATGTCACATCGAGCTCTCAGATCCACAATCGTATCCAGTGGATGTTTCCGACAGTCGGGTCGCAGGCTCTAATATGTTGAAGCATCAGAAAAACAACTACGGCTTTGAATCTAACGCAACTCATCACATAAGAGCAAAATACAAAAGCTTACTTCATAGGGTCATCAGCATTATTTTCTATTTCGCACAATATGACGCCAATACTGGATAGTGGAGTGTTCAGTTGCAATAAAATATAATTGCACCGATTGAAGCCACACTGGAAATTGCTTCCTTTAATGAATGGTACTTTGGAACAGGACAGCTTGGTTTACACAGTGGCGATTAGACTGTGCAGGAAAATGACTTTGGGACAAGCGGAAATCCGGAACTTACCGATCAACAACCTCGATTGACAATGCAATACTCCATCAGAACTCTGAGACAAATGAGTAAATAAATTCCTAGCCCTCCTCGAATGAGTATATTGATGTCTGGCTACGGTCACGAGGTCACAGTGCGTTCCTGCGAGTCATAGACATTAAAAAACAGAAAGTACCGCTTGGAAGTAACAGAACACAAATTGATTGGTTCAACTGTTCCTTTATACTTAGTTATTTCTGCTCGCAAATTGGCAAAAAGAAGAATGTTACGACACGTGTAATACACTTGAGTTACAATGGATAAAAAATCAAGGGGAACAATGGGTCATGCAATCCGATTTGGTGTTGAACCGATTGTCGTTTCCTCCGCAGTTGTGGAAGTAGAAGGTCATACACGCGTTTCTTCCACCATCGTAGTAGTAACTCACGGATGGGTTTTTGCGTTCACACGTGCCGCTGTCCTTGGGCTGAAAACACTCCGGTGGGATCAACCCGAAGGTAATATCTGAGACATGGAGCCATTTGAAAAGGTGTGAATATCTTGAACTTCATACAAATAAGCTTATGGGTTCAATAGGATAATTGACGCAAGATGATGGAAGGTTCTAAGTGGAAGATAAGTTATCATATAATAACCAACAGCATAAATCGTCTCACAAGTTGGCGAACTGCCGGCAAATTCCTACGAAATGACCCAGGTGAACAGTAACGGTTCTAAATATATATACGATGGATATTTACCCATTTCTGTTGGTGAAATATGTGAATTCCCGCATACAGTTATCAATAGCTTTGAACTGGTAATACAGTAGAGGAACTCGTGGTTGCGTGGCCATTTGCGAACTACCGAGCAGGTGGCTTCCATGGAAACTCCTAGGTCATGAATATTGATCTGAAACGTCCCGTCGGGTATGGGTTTTTTATGAAGCGACACCGAAATGCGTTCAAGCTGTCAGACATGCGTTTTATGGAAAACTCAGCGTCTGTTCAGTGAACTGCATTTGAAATTCTAGCTTGATATAGTTAGAATTAAAGCTAGAATGGTGATGTTTAAAATGTCGTCGTAGCACGTCGGAATGTTTCTGTGACAAACCAACAGGTAAGATGTCGTCTAGCGTAGCTTAGATTGCGATTGTCCTACCATTTCGTCTTTAATGTCCTTAGAGCACAAATCCCCAGTGCGTGTTTTCGCCATCCATCCAGTCACTTCAAGCTTTCCCCTCCATCGAGAGCTATGACAACGCGGTCCAGGTCACCATGAGGTGTAAGTAAGGCGCACACTCCATCCAGTTCTGACTCTTACTAGGTGCTTGTCCAGCCGCGTACGAAGTATCGCTTTTGCCTTTCGGCCCTTCAGTCTAGTACGAACTACGTAGGCCCCGAACACTAAAGCCCTCGCAACCGTCAGGCGGACGGATACTACAGTCAAGCATCTGGACCCAATATAGTGGGTGGATGAGTTTAAATTGTCGTTTGTAGCAAAGGCAGCAAGTGCGAGCTGATGATGTCATCCGATAGAATACTTGTTTCTGTTATTTACTTCCGTACTTTTCGTATAGTGTGTTGAGTAGTAGATAGTTGACAATATTATGGAAAAAGCGCTCGGGTCATTTGGATGCACAGGAGAAATTGGTTTACATAAATCTTGGTGATTATTAGTAGCTAATTAGGCCCCAGGTACTGAAAATTTAGGACTCATCAGGCTATATGACTGCGTTCATGAGGACACGAAGGTTTTTGGTCCTGTTGCTATTGTAGGTAAAAAAAACTTGTAAATGGTCCCATTTTCAAGAACAAATTAACTTTCTCTGAAGTATAACAGGCTAATCGATGGCTTCAATCAAATTAATCCTTCGTTGGGACTCTACAACATTACTTCAATGTTCCTTGAGTAAAACGAAACACCCGCTTCATCTCGCGCAACAATGACCTTAGAAGCAACCTGTTTCATGACTAGCTCTATTTCAGCAGAACTTAAGTAAAGCTAGGGGTACGCGTTATGCTCCCAGTAATGCGAAGGCCACTAAGGTGGATGGCTAATCTTGCGAAAAAAGTAAGTTCGATATTGCAGTTCTTAAAAAATGTTGCCTGATTTAATAGCAACGGAACTATTTGCTGCCAATTCTTGAATAACCTAGTTGTTATCCATGAGAAAACATGCTATGTAGGGGGCAACTGATGTACCACTGGACCGTGGGACTGTCATGGGAAAGAACCAAACATATTTGAGAGACGCCACGGTGTCATGAATAGCCACTCGTAATGCAAAGCAGATGATAATGCATCGGACGATTAGCATGAACACATGTGGACGGATTATTTAAGCTACATACACTGAGAATAACTAAAAATTACTCTGATAGAAAATGTGAATGTTCGTTGGTAAAAGGATAGCGAGACCCTGGTTTTATCGTTCCGAAATAAACCAAGACTACATTTCACGTAAATGTATGGAGTAAACTACATAGTACCAACCGTTAGTTCTCAGAAATCAGGATTCCGAGATTTGGTAGTATCCAGTATTTCCGCGGTTGTGAAACTTACCTGGTGACATACGCGTATTTCGGCGGCTCAGACACACCGGGTGATCTGGAGGACACTTTAGACGCCACTCCCTGCCATGATTCCGTTCTGTGTCTTTGCAAGGTCGGTCTTCCATCAAATTGCAGGTTGTGCCTGGCCAGGAACACGTCACTGCCTGTTGGTAAAGATTAAAGTTTCAGAGTTTTACCTTAAATACGATTCGGCCCCAGTACTTGTGACGATGAATACACACTGACTACTTTCACAATATTTAGCGCCCCGAATCACTTTAACTGCAAGGATGTGCGCGTTCACTACTTCATGGAAAAGATTTAGTCATAGAAGCACTCCAGGAATCCATAGACTTAAGTTCTAAAATCCGGAAGCATGAAAACATTAACCATTGCTATACTAAGGATAGGTCAGTATCTCAGTGACGTTTACTGACTATCGGCGCTAAGCAGAATGCTGCGGCATTAACTAGAGGGTAACAAAGTAGGAACATATCATCTTGAGTAAAACAGATAATTGACCACAGCAACGAAGGGACTCAAACAAGCGGCCAGTCACTTAACGATTTCGTTTGCGATAGTGGTATGTTAAAGTGCCCTCTGCTCATGATTAATCGCGGCTAATTGGCAGTCATTCGCTAGGTTTAGCTGCTTCTGCATTTTGGGGTTGAACGTAATTTAACGCATGTTTGGTTAATTTTCCAGACAGATTGCACTGCACTCACAATTTAATTAATAAAGTCCTGGTTCTAAAATCGCATCGTCATAGAGTGACTTCTGTGTTCCTAGTATTTATATTCAAGTATCTAACAGATTATACTGGAATGCCGCGCCGTTCGTGCTGCCATTCGAAGCTGGCTGGGATGTACACAAAGACCTGAGCTGTTTGTACCGAAACCGTTACTTTTACATCATGAGGACTGCAAAGATGGATAAACACTAAGACGCAGGATCCATTATTCACAATGCCATGGAAAACATGTCTACACATTCACTCATTCTCAGCTGCAAAATCAACCATTACCTCACACATGTTCTCCAAGTCGCGGATACAGTATGCCTCGCATGCTGCCCGACTGTAAAACCGGTTTGCATTACCACCGTGTCCCCGGTATCCAAACCAACGACACCTGCGTTCATCTGGGCTGTAATGCCACGAGGATATGTCATCAGGCCCGATTCCCCTATCCAGAGGTAACGTGCACGCAAGTTGCCTTGGTGTACCAAGTTGTGTGGTGTCCCGCTTCGGCCATGGACTAGGTGATCTGCGTACTGCATGCACTGGCTCCGTAGCCTCCTCTTCTTCGTACGGTTTGTATCCATCTATTTCGAATGGCCGCCATATCGCTGAATGGTTTTGTCCCGGTATGTACTGCTGTCTGATCCTGGCATCAGAGTCAGTTGGCATCGTTTCCTCTAACCCGTCATCACCTGAGATGGATGTGGGAGTTGATTGGAGGTATCTTTAACTATACTTATAAATCAACTAACATGTTAATTGATACTTGTAAGTCTACAAACTTGTTCATTTACGGGACGATGCTATAAATAATACGTAAGCAAGCAATATACTTGTCATTTAGTTGGATGTACGGAAAGGGGTAATTGGAGTTATGAGCAAACACAAACAAGTTCACTGGCGATGAAATATCCACCTTGGGCGCAAGAGATATAATCATAGAAGCTAAGTACACTAGTTATTTCTGCACCCCTGGAGTTGCAACGAAGCATCTCTATACCAACCCCTCAAATGAGTAGTATTATTTAACTTTGTCTCAGAGGTGAGGGCTGGCAAAGCCATAGAATGACGCTGAAGATCGATATCACTCAAAAGCCACTTCGTGTTGGTCATCAAATCAAGGCAGTCAATCGTAAAATGGGGGTATATTGACCGCGACTGCTTGAAACGAACCTGAAAACTTCGGGTCAAACGGTGCAATTAAGTAAGGTATCCATTTAGTCCAAGAAGTTAGTGTGCCAGGAAGTATGTTGCCATAAGTAGGGATTTATTGAGCTTGATGTCCAGTAAATTAATCCATGGACCAGAAATAGGATGTATTGTAAGCAAAAGTAAAGTGGTTTAGGAAAATATCTTCAAGAGAAAGCCACAGGTACGCAAGCTAACATCAACCCAGTGTCATTGCTTACGGAAACATGAATCATGCGACAGTATGCATACCAACCTGTATCAGAGCTCCAAATCATATTTCGATGAAAGAGAGAAATTGCTCGGTGGTTTCATTCCAGCGTAGTGCGTGTGGTGTGATTTATGAAAGCTGGCAACTCCACTGCAGGCTAACAGTGAACACCCAGTGCGATACTGGACGTAGTTGCTATGTTTGGTAGCTGCAAATTCTTAAATCTGCATGAGATGGAATGAGAAATTTTTCGGAATGCCGCCAACCCCACTTACTGAATTCGTCATCGTTCTCGTCGTCTACCCAGTTTTCCCCATCGAACTGCGTTGGATGACCCTCAGACGTGCCAAAAGATTTGTAAGCGTACTGTGTTGGATTCTCGGGTTGTGAAGTATCAACCTTCGCATCACGCAGTGGGTAGCGAGGATAAGTGGGTTCAGGGTTGGATTGTTCGTGAGGCGTAGAAACAGCCCAGGTGTTCCGTTTTGTACGTATACCATCGACGAATGTGGGATCGAATGCACGCAATCTGGCACTAAGGACAAAGTCCCGTGGAATTCGGTACACTCCACTACTTCGCCACTTTGCAACATCCTGGTGTCCACCGGCGTTCCATCTGCTGCGAGTCGAAGGATTCACTACCTTATCTGAGTGTGTTCGGAATCCAGCTGAGGCATGTAAGATTGACGGCGTGCTGCGGAAGTAGACCGGTTTGATCAGGAGCTTCTGTTCACGAACTAATCAACACAAGCAGACGGGTAGAATAAATAACTGCATCGACCACGATGAGGCAAAGATATACTCCAACATAAAAATTACTGAGCATAGCTTAGGGTGGTGTTCTGTTGACCAATGGGTTATTCAATATTCTGCTGACTTCCGACTTTGAAACCTCGCGCGCTTGGAGTGGCATGTGCTTAGTGACATGCATCGCCGACCGTGGTTCGAATGTAAGCGGCCCCACACCTTTTATCTACGCACATTCATTCGCATAATACTATCGCTACGTTTGTGTGACAAGACATGGTAGTGTGGCAAGGTTTAGAACAGCGTAGATATTTAGCATGGGTACCCACTCCTAACACACATCCCATCGTGCTAATGACTCAGAATTGATCACGTTCACCATCAAAGTATTCTTACGGATGTAGAGTTTCTCCAAATTTGTCCGATCAATGCAGCTTGCATTAAGTTGGAGATGAGAGAGAAACAGGAGTTAACCATGTAAAATCGAGCACTTCGTCCCTTGAGGTCGGTCAACCGATGAGGGGTGAAAGTTATGATAAACGCGAAATCCAATTCTTGTCCCAATTGTGTATTATTCAGCTTACGTGAGAAGCTCAGCTAACAGTTAGCAAAAGGTGTAGGAAAGGCAAACAACAGCCCACAGCATATCTGTGGCTTCAGGATCTATAGGGAAATTGTCATTGGAAATCTGAACCGAAAAGAACGAGTCTCAGTTAGACACCATTTGTGGCTTACAATAAGATTGTATATCACGCATCGCGAAACTTTAGCGCGCACTGCATGATCTGAATGTGAATTCCTGGTTGTTTTATTAAGGATGGCCGAACAAGCTCAATATCTCAGGGTTAAAAGGTTCAAAGTTAACTCAGTGTTGGGTCCATTCCCAAATGCGGTTGTCACTCAGTGGAGGGCCCAATCAATGGCAAAACCGCTTACGGAGGGGTTGGGACTAGCCCTGGTGCAGGTGCTGTAGAACCGAAGCGCGAACTACCAATCCAGTTAAATTATAGCACTGGCAATATGTTTATTTTTAGCTAACGAACGTCCAACCGCAGTGTTAGTGAAAACACCCTCATGAATAAGGATTGTCTTGTGAATATATGCGACGGTCATCCCATTGTTTAGCTCTCTTGAGCCCTGTGGACTGTGCTGGAATAATCCATCATGGTTCGTATTTCGTGACCCTCAGGCTAAGGTTAACTACGGCAGATGCTTAGAATACACCATATCAATCCTCTGTATTGCAATTAAATTTGATTGCGCTGTTGAAAGTAAATAATGAATTTTCGACCAAACCAACTGGTGTACAAGTCATAAACTAAGTGTTGTGTTCGATGGATAAAAGTAACGGTATTTGAACTTACCGTAAGCATATGACGTGAGAAGTAACGGAACGAAGACAGCGGCGATAAACTGAAAAATTAAAAAAAATTAATGGCCATATTTCAATCGAAGAAGTAATGGCAACAGGTCGCAGAATAACCAGTTGTTGATAAAGGGATAAATAAATTGCGCGAAGTGTGTGCAGTGATTTGACTGTAAGGGAAACTCAGTCTGAATATATATATATATATGTATATATGTATATATGTATATATATATATATATATATATATATCGGATTTGTCCCTCACTGTGGCCAGGCACAGAAAGCCTGTGCCTATAGAGGGACCATGGATGGCTTATGCTACACCGCCCACAGCTCCAACCACACACCCCATATCCAGTGTAAACCAGAAGGGAGAAGACAGGGTGGCATGTGGATGGGAGCCATCTTGCATCAACGGAGCCGGCCCACAATCCTTCACAGGCAAACACAATTACGTTATATTTTGGAATCAAACGAACACCAGGCGGTGGCTGGTGGCTCCACAATGAGTGCATAGAATCAGTCATCGAGCGTAGCACAATCACAAGACAGTGCACCCCTTCCTCTCCAGCAACGACCAACTGTCTCCTGGAGCCAGTATGGACGAGGTAGTGGGTAATGGGCACCTTGTCAACGTGCCCATCAAATACAGCCACACCGGGGATAGCACGCAACAGCCAATCACTTGAAACGACGGTATCAAATAAAATAAATCAAATAATATATGCAGAAACGGTGACCTAACTCTGCAATAAATGAGCTTACGGAATAAACTGGTTACGAACAAATATGGTATAATTGCAAGACGTCAGAAAGTGCATTTACAGAAAAATCCACAACCACGTAAGTATTAGCGAAGTTACTTACAATTAACTTAAGCGGCGTGTGCAAGTTTATAGAAGATAATTTAGGTAGACATTAATATGAGCTAAATAAGCATTAGTACAACATAGCAAATCCACCACCTGAAATAAAGAGACTCAGCATGCAAGTACGCCGTTAGCAAATTTAATACAGCGTACCTACAAACGCTGCGCCCGTTCTGCCTACGTTCTAAGCAGGAACCGTCGTCGTTTCGGTGGGTGGCCTCGTTTGGCTTCACTCGTGGCTCACTAGGCCTGCGTGACTCAGGCACTCGCGACCTCATGTGCTACAGCACCATGCGCTCGAGGTCAATGGAGTACAACCCATCGGCGCCTGTCGTTTTCGCAATAACCGCTTCTCTCTGCATGCACGAGGGATTTATCTTGCACCTCGGCAACGACCTTCGTGATCAGATCGCGCCATGAACGCCGATCAACCGCTTTTGATTCCCATAAGCTGAAATCAATATTAGAACCTGAGTGGCTCACTTTGATCATGTCCTGGTAACAAAAATTAAGTTTCCCTACATGCCGCTTCCAAAAACTCAGTTGACCAGATAATAGTTGTTTGGGTATTCGCGTCGAATCCACACGCCGCGCATAACCGAGCCACCTAATGTGTCTCCGAAAAGGAAGCACTCCACTGCATACATTCCACTTCACCGCAACACTTCCGTGTCCACTACTCTTTCGTACCAAGAATTGTGTAGAATCCGCTGCAGACAAAGTGGCTGGAACCACTCGAGATATCACACACCTCGCTGGTAAATCGTCCACGTTTCACTGCCTTATAGAAGAACGGACAACACCACGGATTTGTGCATTATCAGCTTTGTGACAACGGTAAGTTGGTGGTTATTCCACATTCCGTAATATAGATTCACGAATGCCGCCGCTGCCTTCGAAACGCGGACACGAAGCTCATTGTGTAGCTGCTGATCAGTCGATATCACACTCCCAAGGTAGCAGAAGGGGGAGGAGGTTTCCAATACGTCATCATCAATGTTGATTCGAGACACCATTGTAGATTGCAGTTCCGGTGAAGGCCAAAAGAGACAGACCGTTTTGCTTGTGTTGATGGTGAGCTCGAATTGGGCCGCTGTCGAAGCCACAGCACTAGTCATGTGCTGCAACTCATCCGCGCTGTGTGAAAACAATGCACAGTCGTCAGCAAACAGCAACCTCCGGAAAGTTGTCTCACAGATTAGAGTTCTCGCACCGAAATGACGGATGTTCAGCAACCCACCATCACTCCGGTGATCCACACGAACACCGTAAGCATAAGACATCATTACACGAAGACAAATACTAAACAGAGCAGGAGCTAAGACACAGCCTTGCTTCACACCAGTGATAACCGCAAAGTCATCCGAGGTCTCTCCACTCAGCTGCACCCTCGCCCGCATACCACTGTGCAGACATCCAATTAGACTTACAAACTTACGAGGGCAACCAAACTTACCCAACACCAACCACAATGCCTCGCGGTTCACCGTATCAAATGCCTTCGTGAAATCAACAAAAAGCAAGTGCAACGGCCGGTGTCGTTCCCTGCACTTCTCCTGCAACTGACGAACCGCAGACACCAAATATATAGTGCTCCAACCCGAATGGAACCCACACTGCTCTTTCGCTACCTTAGGTTGATAACAACTGACTGACGAGACGGTTGAGCAGGAATCGGGCAATCACCTTACCCACACAACTCATCAAGTTGATGCCACGATAATTCGTACAACATTGCTTGCTCCCTTTGCGCTTGTACAGCGGTGGCACAAGAGCATCGTTCGACTCAGGATGCACCTCCTCCTCAATCCACACGCGTTGCACCAAGTGGTGCAGCGCAGTCAACAATGCGGGTCCGCCGTGTTTCAATACCTCAGGCGGGATCCCGTCGGTCTAAGCACACTTGCCGTTTCGCAGCTGAGCAAGTACTCTCTGCGTCTCATCCAGTGTCGGCGTGTCCTCCAGATCCGCCTTCACATCGTGCGGCTTCAGGCCGTTCAATGTAGGCCAGTCGATCACTGAACGGTGGTTCAAGAGACAGTCAAACTGATTTCGTCAGGTCTGTATTATGTCTGCAGTCTGTGTGCTGGTAGTGGCTGAGTTACCATCGACCAGCGCCCCCAACAGCTCCAATCTCGTTCCATACACCGACTTCAAGGATCCAAAGCATTCATTGTGTTGGCGTCGTTCGGTGTAGTACTCCATCTGCTTCGTCTTTTCCGTCCACCATGCATTTTTACTGCGTCGGGGCTCTCGGGTTAGTCACCGTCGAATGCTCTGCCAAATTTTCCCTTGTTCCCCTAGTCACTGGGGTCTGCAAAATGTGCACCAAATGCTGCATTCTGCTCCTACACCAATGCGCCGATCGTCGCATTGTTGTCATCAAACCAATCAGGCCGCCTGCAGTTTGCGCGCCCCATGATCTTTGCGGCAGAAGCTGTCACCTGATCGCGAATGTGGTGCCAAAGGTCTCCCACTGCGTCGGTGCAGTCCACATCACACAGACTTACAGCCATCGCTTTCTGCAGCTCAATACGTTTCGCCACAGTACCGAAAGAGACTGTTAAATTTATGCCGAATCATGGTAGGTATGCTATACAGAGATTTCCGAAAATATATGTACAGTTTGTTCGGCACAAATTTGTTAGCAGTGCCACACTCAGCTCTATGCAGTACATGTGTCATGCGCACTTTACGCATATCACGCTGACGTACGATGACATAGTCGAGCAAGTGAGCCTGACCACTCCGTGGGTGCGTCCAAGTTGCCATATCACTCATACTCAGTGCAAACCCAGTGTTCGTGATCGTCAGGCCGTGAGTGGCACACAGTGAGAACAGTATGTCACCGTTCCCATTTGCTGAACCAATACCATGCGGTCCGCTGACATCTGTACACACCGATACATAACGCGCAACGCGCGCGTTCAAATTACCCAACAGAAATAATCGGTCTCTCCTCGGCAAAGACCGTATCACGGATGATAGCTGAGTGTAGGATTGACCACGCATGTCATCCGGATAACACATGGTCCTACCGTACATGCTAATAAACTGGCAAACTTACCTCTTCCTAGTCGTAGGAAAGCAGTCGTCAGTCGCTCCCTGATGCGTGTTGGTTCACCCACCAGCTGGCCATGGAGGCGATCGGATATTGCAAATCCGACCCCATGTTCATGTGGCGCTGAGGTAAAGTTGCCCACCCAGTAGAACGTGGAACGAGCACCTACCTTTTGCAAGTTACCCTGCTCATCGAACCGGGTCCCACGAAGCGCCGCAATATCTATATGGTAACGCGCCAGTTCCATCACGACCAATGCAGTGCGTCGCTCGGGGCCCCCACTCGAGATCCGGTCCAGCGGTTTGCGTACGTTCCAACACCCGATGCTGAGTGCTTGGCGCGGAAACACGTGATAGCCTTGGTGGGCAATCGCACGCTTGGTGACGGTTATGCTTCGGAGGTTTGTTTGAGTGACTACACCCAGAGCCTTTGACGCAATAGCCTGACCCACAAGAAAGTGGGGAGCAGATCCAGCTCGGGAATGCGATTTCAGAGACAGATTGATATTTGCTTGAGGTCCATCACACGCAGCCTTTGAAGCACTGAAACGATTCCTATATCTTTTACGACCGTAGTAGGATACACCTGCGACCATGGCCAGACGCAGGTGGGTTTTGGCGGGTTTGCACCAAGTTGACCAGGGGCTGCCTGGCTTGTGGCGGGCAGTAGCAAACCAATAACCACCCGGAGGTGCCCACTCCCCGTCAGACACGCTACGTGACACTCGTGCTCTACGCCAATCGAGCTGTGAGTTTCTAGCCCGTATACCTGTTGTCTCTCATGGCTAGGTTTTACGGGCAGAGGGCCACCGACCACTTCGTAACCTCCGACGAGGATGGACTTGAATACTGGCAGGACGCCCACACTTGACAGAACGACTCGGGTCCTCAGCCAAAGCCTTCGATTAAATGAACACTCGAAAGGCAGCAGGTCTAGCACACGGCAAGTTCACTGGCTCATGACGTTTGGTGTCCAGGATCCTAGCAGGGAAAAGGGCGTAAACCAACTCCCACCCAGCGGTCGGCAGCAGGAGGCGTCCAAGACATGAGCCCATGACACAATAGTAGCAGCAGTGGGCAGACCATCTGACAGCATCTAGCCAACACAAGCCTCAGAGCACCATAGGCTCTCCTTCCTAATAATATATATATATATATATATATATATATATATATATATATGCGCCCCATGCTGAGGCTGATGTTGCATTCATGATGCTTCTTCATCGCAGTTGGGCCACACCAACTTACACTTAAACTAGGTCTTCTGAATGTGGACAAAAGTCATTCCACTTTATTTGGTTTGTTCTGCGTACCTGATAATCTTCTCCTAACTTGCACACGTTAATCATGCTAATTGTGCTAACCTTGCGTAACTTTATCCCGTGGTAATTTTTAAATAACTTTCGGACATTTTATATTTATCGCCGATTCGCTTATAACAAATTTACTCCATATGCTCATTTAGCGAGTATTTATGTCGTCATATACGTTTACTTTATTCGATATCTTTTGTTTGATATCGGCATTTCGAATGATCGGCTATTGTTTGATATCCCAGGTTTGGCTGCGCTTGATATGCATGTTGACAGGGCGTCTACCTGTTTATTACCCACTACCTCGTCCATGCTGGCTCCAGGAGACAGTTGGTCGTTGCTGGAGGGGACGGGGTGCACGGTCTTGCAGTCGTGCTAGGCTAGAAGAGTGATTCCATGCACTCCGTGTGGAGCGAACTACGGTCCAGCCACCGCATTGTGTGCGATTGATTCCCCAAATACAGCGTGTTTGTGGTTGCCTAAGAAGGAATGTGGGGCCGGCTCCGTTGATGAAACATGGCTCCCATCCACATGCCTCCCGGTCTTATTCCTTCGGGTTTACACTGGATTTGGGGTGTGTGGTTGGAGCTGTGGACAGTGCAGCGCAAACCATCCATGGTCCCACTATAGGCACAGGCTTCCTGTGGCAGGCCACAGTGACGGACAAATCCGAAACCGGATGCCGCCAACCTTATATATATATATATATATATATATATATATATATATATATATATATATATATATGACGAAAGTACTAGAGAAAAGCGTTAGAACTAAAGCAGCTTATTGATTTCGGGTGGCGTTTCATGTTCTGATACCAGTTGACCTCATCTACGTATGCTTGGTAACGTGGATTTCCATTGGGGTGCACTCAAGCCGCCCGCTCGTATAGTTTTTAATCTAATGAACACTGGATTTAAGATCAGCATAACATGGAATTTGCAGAAATGTTAAAGTTGAACTCATCACAGCTGGTGTTAGCCAGATGGTCATCACACATCCCGAGAAGCACAAGATGGCTGTCATTTCCTTCGTGGGGTCGTTGGTAAATCGTATTCCACCCGTCTCTTATGAGGATGGGACCAGTGTTCATACCCTTATGAGTCAAGGATCGGGAAAATCGGGATGCGGGGAACAGGTTACCAGTAGCGGCATAGCTTAGGACACTCATCGCTCAGTTGCATGTTACCACTAGGCAATGATATAGCAAATCTTGCAAGATTGACCCCTACATAGTGGGTTCCTTTCCACTATAAAATATTCGTCATAGTGTTTAATGGCTCTCAATCAACCATGTTCCGAAACAAGTACTCCTGAATGAGTCAGCAAACACAAACTTCCACCTGACTGGACACCATTTTTGGAATATGGTAGGTAAACGGAATAACTGCAGTTTGCCCCCGTTAGAGGACACCTGAGTGTCCCAGTGGGCTATTAGCACCATTCTACTTGCAGATGACTTCAAGGAGCGGTTCGTTGCGAGATTCATAATTCAACATGTATGATTATTAATGTGTCACCGAACAATGAAATTCATTCTTTGGCAATTAGGTTAGCTGTCAGATATCCTCAGATAAACAATTTTCTTTGTACATCCCATGTTCTTTCGGAAGCGGAAAACATCAATACAGTCAGAGTAAAATGGAATTTGAGGTAGAATTTGCCGACAACTGCCGAGCGCACTCTGCCTACACAGTACATAAAGCCAGCAATGATATCTTTGTAAAGTGTACTTCTGTACACTCCATATGTTGTTTGTGTTACCTTAATAACTGATCTTACTAGTTGCAACCTGCTAGTATTACAGTGCGACGAATATTGACTGCATAAGTAAACCGTGGAAGCTCATGATGCGACAGTCATTTTGGCTCAACACATGACTTACATTAAAGGGTTTTACATTCATGGTTCTTCTGTGTCATAGAAGTAGGATGCGCATTTTATTTCAGTAAACTAAAATAGAAAAGTAAGATCTAGAGATCACAAGGGAACTTGAAACATATTAGGTGTTTTGTATAGATTAATCTTCACACATGAGGGCTGCGTCCCCTCAGGTGTGCAAAACTTTATTGTAAACCATGTAATTGTGACAGTCCCAAATAGGTCAACTCAAACTAGCTATGAACACCTAAATTCTCAGCTATAGTTTCAACTAAAGTGCTCAATTGACAAACGGTCTCTCTGGTTTAATAATGATCAACCGTATTCCTATCATGTAAGTAAGAGAGCATAAATAATGTTACAAATGTTGATTTGGTTTCATGAGCAGAAAGCGGAAACCATCCTTTAATCCTGTAAAATTTGATAGCGGGCATGCATGCGAAGCAGTTTGACAAATGCAAACTAGATAATCAGGAGCACTTTAGCGCTACAATCAGATTAATGATACCATAGTGCAATGGGGTGTATAGCAAGTAGGCTGTTGAAGAGGCTGCCGACTCTGATGACTTATCATTACCGAAAGCCCCAGTGAGTCCGCTCGCAACGGCACCGACATTTGTTCATGGATTGCAGTATCACCAACCGAGTTTGTGCTCCGGCGTAAAGTGTATTGAAATTTTGTGCGACATGTTTGTAACAATAATTTGCTATGTAGGTAAAGCAAAAAGGCGAAGTTTAGCCTTGTTCTTGCTGTCTATCAGTTCCGCACTGGCTGTATGCTCTTCTACCAAACAGTTTAGTTGTCAGGGATCAAAAACATTAGAGATCAAGTCGCCTTGGAATAAAATGTCCCGAAACTTAGGAGGCACTCAGTTCGCTCCAAACGTAGTATCAAAACGTGATTTAATTGAACAAAACGCTTGGGACCGAACTGCTGAATACTTTGACTGAAATATAGTTAGTGTAATACATTAATGATTATATAATGTTCGTTTAAGGAATGGGTTCTCTTACTGTGAATAACGGATAAGCTTGTAGTCCTGTGTGTGAGATTTTAATATGCTGAACAAGCTTGTGACACTGCCTAAATGCTCATGAAACCTGTTGCCATTTCTTGAAACAATACTGGCGCTGTGTTTGGGAAAAAGTGGTTACAGTGCGACTATTTAAGTGCATCAATTACATTTACAAGTTGCTCTTAGAAAGCAAACTTAGCACATTGTAATTCCACCGCAATCCACTCTCTAGGTTTCCAGCCATACTTTGAATGAAATATAGAGACAGCCATTTGCCCATAGCAGTACAGATGTGGTTTCGGACTTTGGCAACATTTGAACTACCGGAGCGGCTACCCAAAGTTACATGGCTAGAAGAAGCCGAGGATCTGAGATTGTTCATATCGTAAGATACGAATATGATTTTAGGTGAAGAATTGTGCAACTGCTCAGAGGGGAAGGATCGCTGTTATATCTCCCTGTATTAGTATAAGATCCTAGGTGGATGTGTTTCTTATAGCAAAAGCCATAAACTTCGTCACTTTCAGATTGCCATCAGACTTCTAGTTTAATATAAGAGTTGGCAAGCTCAACAAGCAGCCCGTCCGCCAAGGAATTCGGCATCAAGGCAGGAATTCGGAGTCGGGAAACCTAGTAGAGTTCCTGTTGACCCAACAGTTGGTACAAAAAGCAGATCTCATGCGCATGTTATTAGATTCAAAAGATAACCGTTTGCAGTCAACAATGAGCTACGACGGGCAACGATATCAACTGACAGCAGCGGAGAACAAGATCCCTGGAACCTAAATGAGTAACAAACTATGTGCATATGACATCTGGTACGTAAATGCTTGACTCACACTGAATTATCAAAGGAACATGCGCAGCTCGGACAGTCGGTGATGCATAGCTCGTGGTTGATAGCACAGACGAAATCAATGACCATTTAAACTTCAATGAAAACTGCGAACTTGGGCTTAAAAGCACCCGCGATAGTCATCGAATCGGAATCCATTAAATCACATCATATAGTGAATGCAATAGAGGAATTTTTCTTTACGCTAGGAGAATGTCACACGGAACTGTTCGTTCAGTCAGCGGAATGCCAACTACTGCACCCCCGGCTTTCTTTCAGGTTAACAACAGCGTATGGTGCGTTCTACTATCCTCTATACAGTCCTAATAGCTCTAACACTTAGAAATAAGACTTGATCCAGTTGAGTGCAAGTAGCGTACCGGAGAGTACTAAACTTCCGGTACGGAAAACAGTGCACACCTACCGCGACACAGGAACATAATACAGTTGCTGTGGTTGTGACTATACAAGCCCTGTTATCCTACCTTTGAACTTCTGTTGGTTTGTCGATTACGAATAGTTACCAAGCACAACGTAGGCAGTTGATGAAAATTAACTTTCCCTCTTTAACTATTTGCTCTTTATTGGTGTGATCAAAACAGTAATTATCGTTGCTTGTCAAACATACTTAGACCGGGATATTGCAGATGGCCTAAATTTAATCTCTCTCAGAAGGGATATGATTCATTAAAAATAAGTAGTTCACTTATTTGCGAAAAGTTCATATGTAATCAAATAAGAGCTAGTTACGTAAAAAGTCACAGCCATTTCACAAAGGATTTGCACAATACGAAACACATATCACTTACCATTAGCAAATGTTTTGTGCATTGACCGGTCAATGTAACACGACAGACTGACGCCAGTTGCTCCATCAAACTACGCCGTTGTGCCCCCAAATCTTTCTCTTCTGCCGGGCCAAGTCGACAACAGACATTTACCGGTAAGACACGTAGTTGTAGCCACAGCTGACGCACTGGTAAAAAACGCAATTGTACTGGCACTCTCTGGCTAAGTGTGCACAAACCTGCCGCCAAGTGGGCACAGGCAAGCCAAACAACACCAACGACGCCGTGTCGGATGAAGTGAGATGCGGGGGAACAGGCATCGACTGCTACCCCACCATTCCGTTTGGTGCAAGCTGATGTGTTGTATGGTGTTAATCTCATACCGATTCGGCCCATGTGGGGCGGGGCGGATTTGCCTAGGTAGTAGGGTGGAGGAACAAAGGACAGATGGGTCGAATGAAGACAATATGTGTGATGAGACTGATGACCTTGATAGTAACGATGAAAACAAGGACAAATATTTGGATGATTTTCAAGTCGATAGTAGTTCAACGCACATTTGCTTGCACGTAACATTCAGGTGGTTGCAGATCCAGTCAAGTCAAGAGTGCGAAGTGATGCACCCATGCGGGTGAATCTTCATACCGGCTTTCCGCGGTAAGTAGTTGCCAGTATTCGTTGACAGGCGGGGCATGGTTATTCGGGGCACAACACCGGAAGCCACCGGCCTGATGAGGTGAAGGTTGTGTGCCAATGACCTCCAAAAAGCACATAACTAAAATAAAAAATAAAATATATATTCTCAATGTTACACATCAAAGAAGGCATAACCAGTTTTGTACAAACAGATGTGCGACGATTTCATTTTGACCAAATATTAGCCTTGAGAAAGCAAGTGAGTAAATTCTTGAGAGCCAAGAAATGAGATGTGGTTTATTCAATGGAATACAATTAATTTCCTCTGTTTCAAGCTCACGGCATTCAGTCACCATAAAATACCGAAATCTTTGGTCACCTACTGGCCGTATCTAAAAGAGAAAAAAGATAGTAACTTCGTTTTCCGAAACTAGCGGCCTTCGATACTTTAGTGTTCACTGACAATGGGTTGCAATTGATTGTGTTGTTCCAGCATTGGCTACGATTCGAAATCACATTGACAGCTGTAACAGCTGATTTGATAAAATGTTTTCCTAAACACTGCCAGTAGTATATCATGAGGTCACAAGCAACTTGAAGCGCGCTGATAGGTTTACTAATAGACCACCTAACGCAATTTGTTTCATTTGGGCTTTTGAATGCTTGAAATATGTTAGTAGTGCAATGTAACGGAGTGACGGTGATTCGGTGTTGATAATACAACACTGTGAGCATTGCATCAATATGTAATCGTGCTACGAGCGCTTCACGATATTACTTACCGAATGTTTCATAGTAATGTTTCATGGTTAACAGGCAGATGAGCAAACTCTCCATCTTTATTTGTCGCTCCTATAAGTACTGCACGGCACCTACATTATATGTGCCGTCAGTCATCACAAAGGTGCTGAGTGATTTGGATAAACAGTTGTAATTCTACTGAGCATAATTTTTGGTTATTAACGAAGTTTATAGGTTAGGCTATCCATATATCACCAAGCTGCGCGTGGTGATCCATGTATGGTTGCAGACATTAAAATGGTATCCTAGCCGTCGCGGTCTACATCAGTGTAGCCAACAAGCCCTACAAAACTAAATTTGAGACCCTTCTCGCTAAGCTGACAGTCGGCGGTGTCCGTGACACAGTACACCAATCGATCCGCAATTTTTAACATTTGGTGAACGTACAAGGAACAGTTTGAGGACCATCTGACCTATTAGTATCACGCTACCAGTGTGCAACCCAAGACACCTACTTTACTGCTGATCCACGTGGACGAAACACAGCTCCTCCGGTCACCATGTGCGCTATGAGCGGACAAGCTGAAACCTTGGCGAGTAACTGATGCACTCAACGAATGCAACCTACTTAGCAGTCACTACGTGGGCTTTGCTGAGGTCCGCCTACTGTTTAGCCCAGTTAAGTCGGTGTTCATGAGCCACGACCGTCAGCCGCCATAACCCATACCTTCCTTGAAGGACCAAGGCGTGCTCTCACGCTGCTATTTGAAGGCCGTGGACAACACAAATAGGTTGTCTTAACAGACTGCGCGTGCTGTGGGCGTTGAAACGCCGCTCCTGTGATAGGTCAAAAACGATTGCCACTAGACTAATCACCATCAAGGGGCAAATACTGGAGTACGGCTCGCCAGCCTAGCGTATAATAACTCCGGAAGATACTCAGATGATCGAGCTGGTCCAACGACTCACTGCCAGGTTCATCCCTAGTTTCTCGCCAATTAATCATAAGTGCACTTTGGTCTGTTCTGTTCCATCGAGCTCATATGCTTTGCACCACAGACACACTAGAAGCAAAGAAAAGCTTCTATTTGGCGTGTTACAATCTAAGTGTTACTCATGGCAATTGAAAAAGCGCTTCAGTGACTCAATGAAAGGAGAAATAACGGTAGAAAAAAGCTAGGTTCTTAGTGACTTACGTGTTAATGTGACAACCTCAAGAAAGTTACCGCTGAACGACTAAGCGCCTGAATGAAAAAGAGATACAATGCAGAAGAGCTACGTTTCCCCTTGACCACCAGACTCATGCTTGAGTTTTCAATGGAGGCACAGGTTACGAAGCAATGTATGTCAGATCGCTTATACAAATTCAGAAGTAGCAGTGCAACAGCAATGTTGGCGGTACTGCTCGTAATTTACGTGTTCGAATAGATGAACACCTTCTAAGGTGGCTACTCAAATGGATGGAAGATGCACCTGGTAAATTAAGAATTAAGGGTAACTCCGCAATTACGAGGAATTTGATGAGCATCAGACACAAGGTAAACCCAGAGGAATCATACACAATCCTCATGAACCGTCAAAGACCTAATATTACCAAGCCGTTCGGGGCCAATACTATCGATCGACAGTGCTCAGTACTACGACCAACAACAGTTGATTGACGCAAAGCTTGACGTGGTAGCGTGCAAGGTACCAAACGGAAAAGAGGTGAAGAATAATTGATACCAGTTGAAGTAATATCCAGTCCCTTGCGCGGCTCTGAAAAGTGTGAACGAAATGAAAGAGTTATCCAAATAAATTCGCATTCTGATAGGCAAATCTAGAATAAAAAAGGGAAAATTATTTTTAAAATTCATCACAGCACTTAGTTCAAGAAAAGCGAATCCAGAAGTCGCGCACACACGAAATAGCGTGCTGTTTGCGTTGGTAACGATTTCCAAGTGAGTCAATGGCCAAGCATGGCTGTAATGAACAGAGAAAAAATAAATAATCAACGTACCGAAATAATGGAGTGTTAAATGGTGATTTAGCAGAGATTTTTGCAGTATAATTAGTATACGTTCACTTGGTTGCAACTAATCGCACTCCAAAAACTTTCTATCTTCGGTGCAAAGCGGGAAAATCGCGAATATAATTTCATCCATGAGAATCCCCTTTATAAATCCAAATAAGAAAATCAGAAGAGGAAGGTTTCGGAATGACACTGTTAGGACGACCTACCAGTGCTCGGGCCGGTTCGGTGTGTTCGGATATCAAGACAGTCACAGGAGTACGACTGCGAATGCTCCGGACTTCTGTGGCCTTAATCTTATTGCCTGCTTGTGAGTAAATGGTGACAAAATGAGCCTGTGCAAACGGCAACCGAACTGTGGGTTGACAGGTGACAGCCCTGGGGGAAAAGAGATGTTTTGAGCGTCGCTCCATTGAGAGCGCGAATACCGAAACACGACAGCGCAAATTTTGTTCCCAGTTGAGTAGGCACTGCTTTGTTACCGCAGGCGTCACTTACTGTTAGGCTATCATTGGGTTGATTTAAGTGGGAAGGGATAAGGCGACAGAATTTCTCCCTGAAGGAAACCAAAGTAAGTGCTCATTGGAGAGAGCATTTGCCACTGACTCGTGTAATCGGAGTGAGTCCAATAAAATAAGTGCTCAGCAATTGGGTGATGGAGGGATGTATTCCTTGAATGAGTAGATCATTCGGAAGCGTTTCGCGGTTTACACAGCTGTATGCGTTGTTATACGCAAGCAAAGATGTGTATCAGTTGAATTGTTGCTGTTGTCAAGTGCTGACAGTATAGAAAGTACGAGACGCGACACTACATCGACAATAGATCTCGAACTACGCTAAGTGCCTTTAAGGGGGTCATTCGGGCGGGTTTGAGACAGTACCGTTTCAAGAATGATTTTCTCGTGAAGCTTCTAGGCAAAGGAAGAGCAAGCGATAGGTCAGCATTCGTTGAAAACTTTTCTTAATACCGATTAGATGCTGCCGTTCCCAAGCATAGACTGGATGTACGCTTGGTGGAGGCGGCGTAGCTCTTCCTTGGTACGAACAGTGAGACCTAACTGAGATGCCGCATTTTCCTTTAAACGCTCCGCTTAAGTCGACACAGCCACTGCTGCTCGGGGACGAGAACCTGTACGCGCCGACATTGCATGTTTTTCAAAGACAGGAGATGTCAGAACAGAAATTAAGATAGCTACTCAAGTTGTCACAATACTTGGCTCCATCAGGGTCGAAGAAGGAACCAAACCATTTGTTTGAAACCATTCCATGAGGTCGATGGATAGTTTGTGAAGAGCATTGCCTCCACTTAAACCCACTTACGTCAGCTCAATGATAACCCCTGCAGAAGCTACCCTAATAAAATATGCTGACCACATCGTCCCAGGTACCAATCATCGAAACGTCGATCGCTCTCTGAGGCTGCAAAATCATCTGAATGACCTCACTAGTCGGCCCAAAGCTCGTCATCTTTCTCCTAATGGATCCGAGTGGCCTAATACGCTATTTTCGCGACACATAGGAGCCAGATACTAGCAGCTTTTTGCACATAACCTCAGGCAGCTTAGTGACAGTGATGGGTTGCAATCTGCTACGTCAGTGAAGTACCTAAGAATGGAACTTGAAGTTCTGCCAGATGACCGACTGACATACATCATATGCGGGAACAATATGGCCCTGTATGGGTCTGACCCAGGGGTTATGTAGACAAACTGATTAGACTGACGTGTAACGCTGCCCGACTCGGCATGAATTTGCACCTTCGTAGTGCAAAGTATTGTTAGGAAATTATTGAGAATACCTGTAGCTCGGGGTGTGGATGAGAGGATTGTCCTTTTCTTCGATCTGGGCATTTCGGTTGCAGACCTCTCCTTAGCAAACTAAGTAACATCTTCAGTGCGGCTATTCAGTCCTGATTCGCGGTTTCGCAAAACAATGTCAGATCCGAGTGACTATTGTGCCAGAATTGGTGCGATCAATCCCCTCATTTTTTACTCACTTCCAAAGGGGAAACCTCCAACGACATCCAGAGGTTATTACACGAAGGAAATATAAAGGTGATTTAACTAGAGTCAAGGATCCGTCAAGCTTGGGTGCATTTAGATTACGCACCGTCGGCTGATAAGAGGACTCATGGCATGAAATCGACTCGCATGGTTGCGAAATGTTTAGAAATCGTTTGCGATCCACAACCCTAAGGCTGACTGCGGAGACGTCGAAAATTGCCGAAGCCAACAGCTGCGTATACAGTGGATGGAGTGGCGTTATCGAGTGCGAAGCGGACGCTCTTAACCTGAAAGTCTGAGGGGCGTTGGCGAACGGATCTGGGGCAGAGTGCAAACATCAAACCACTACTACTCCCACAACCGGCAGAAACGTAGTGTGCCGACC